TATTCTGGCTAATTTAACGATATTTCGGTAATTCCAAACGTTTGACTCACGTGTTGTCAAATGATACCGCTGGTTGTTCTAGGCTTAAAGTAGTAGATTATTCCCCATGACAAGTGTTCGAGTGTTCACTCCCAGGTAGTTGAGGGTATGTCTGCTACTATTATATCAATTGTGGCCTGATTGCGTCCGTTTCTGGCTAAACAGTAGAACTGGGTTGTTAATCATGACCCGTTGCCATACTGCTCTACAATCATCTAAGATTGGAATACTTATTTCTTCTAGCAAGTTGTATCCAATGGTTCTTTCACGTGCATAAGCATAATGCATTGTTCCAATTATGCGCGTAGAGTCCGTTGAAATGGAACAAAAGCCGTACTATTGTTTACATTTGTTTCGTTCCACAGTGGTACTCATATCTGCGAACAGCAGAAGGAACATTGGCCTGAAGTATCCACTGATGTTGAGATGCGTTGGAGCGAAGAAAAAATCAGAGAGTTGAGCATCTACCTCAACGAAGACCCACCTGCCACACCGTATACATGCAGTAGCAATCAACACCAAGATACACGTAGTATTTCCGCAGAGATTGTGACTAATATGGCTGCAGGGGATGTTTCCACTGCTAGGATTGCTGCTGCAACAATGCACCAGGAAGCTGTGACATCATCAACAGCCGCATGTATACATCAACACACATACCAAGAAGAGACGAATGAACGAACCTCTGGTATGTCTTATAATTATGATGAGAGAAGGAGGTGACTCGTCTTCTCACGGAAATATGTGTGCACACGTTATGTAGTCCAAGTTAGTAAACATTTTATTGTGCCAATCCTTTTGGTTCCCCGAATCTGCAATTGTTGCAAGTCTTCGCCCAGCAGTACACCATTACGGAAAGTTTGACTTCGCGAGCATACAGGGAGGGGGAGTGGGCACTATAACAACACAGAGCGTGAAAATCCACTACATACGGCATCTCAGTTCTTAGAACTGGTACTAATGTTTTTGAGAAAGTTAAAACACTTGTAGGTTTACGTAAAACCAAGCGAACGATCGTCCATAGAGCCCGCGTCAAGATTCATATGCACTAGCAATCGCTGTTCTGTGATATGCATTTCTTTTCAATCGGAGGAATTGGCAATGGGTCAAGACAGGTGGAATATGAATTTGCTATACCGTGCCATCCGCCAAAATTACGGTTTGGTTTTCGTTGACAAAAACACATAGACATGTCTGACCATGATCTACGGCCGCAGACTAGGACATGTGCTATGATTAAACAGCGCCTGGTGTTCTGGAACATTCTCTAAACTGGTACCTAATGGTGAGCGAGGGTTTCCCACACTCCTGAATATTGAAGCACACTTTTAATTAAGCGATTGTCTAACGGAATCAGGTAGTGTTTATTACTACTACAATAGAATGGAATTGTCCGCGTATGAGTGTTATGGCTGATTGACGTCAACGAAATTTGATATTTCCCTTCCTCTTCTCCTGTGTTGCCTTATGACTAGGATACTCCCGACAAGTGCAGAGAAAGTACTATAGTTTGGATGAATTGATCGACAAAGATCCAGTTCCTGCTGTCGCAGTTCAAATGGGCTCTGCCTATTTAGCCCCGAACGCTCGACAGCCGGGAGAAGCCCACTGGCCTGCCCCACGATTCTATCCTCAAATACCAGAGTCGGTGCAAGCTACCAGCATGTTACAGGAACAATACCCTACACCCAACCAGGCAAGTCAAACTTAAGACAGTATAGCAAAAGTAATAGAATTCTAAATAGAAAACGAAGGGCACACTACTTAGTTAAGGAGGCTCCCACCTAAAGAAGTAAAAATAAAAGGTCCATGGACACCCTGTTTTTTATGCATAGAATGGTGGAGTGATGTCTCCTCTTCAATTTGGTATGGTTTTTAGGTAGGGTCACCAGGCATATAAGAGGTATTCTGGTGTATTTAGTGAGTGTACAATTTCTTTATTTTCGGCAAAAAAATGGTAAAAAAATTTGGTTTTTGACCCAAAGAAGCCTCCTGGAAGGAGGATACTAAGTATTTTCTTCATCATGTGTTTAAGAACCACATTTGGAGGTATCTTGGGTACACAAGATAGACTGTGTCTTGGTTTTGCCCTTGGTGAGCCACTTTCTCGAAATTACGGGTACCGAAATTTCCATCGGGAGCTGAATTGTGAAATGGTTCAGCCTGCAACATTTTGTCCATGGACATATTGATTTTTGTGGCTTTCTGTGATCCTTGAGCCCCAAGGAAACCGATTATAGACAGTTTTGATGGTGTCACCAGGCACTTTAGGCCCCTACGAAACAATATAGGTGTCAAATAATGGTATTTCAAGGCCAAATCCGAAAATAGCATTTTTAGAAAATCTGACCATTCTTGCCTTCTTGACTAAATAACACTACCAATGACATGGTGGTATGGTAATATATATTAGAAGAAGTTATTTTCATGCTGCAACCTCCTTTGGACATACCAGATAGTCTGTGCTTGGAAAGGTACAAAGGTACATGCATAATTATTACATGTACATGTATGTCATGTAGCCTTCAGCCCTAGCACATTGATATATGAGTAGTGTACATGTACATGTAAGGCAGCGAGGTTTTATAACATCCTCGACCATGAAACCGGCACATGGATAATGTGAAAGCAGGCATTCAAAATCAGGCACACTAAACACTTACACGCGTGCGTGCACACGCACACAAACACCCACCCACTCTCGTGCACGCATCATTGTAACACTACTAGTACATAGTAGGACTTAGTGTAAATACTTCGAGTAGAAGCATGAAAACCAGCCACTGGACTGGGCATGCATTTGCTGGTTGTCACTTGTGTTCATAGCAGCAGACTCCAGAAAAACATACGCATGAAGGGCAATATGCATCTACACACGTTGGCGTGCACACACACGATATAGTGTACTGTCATGACCTCTTGGCAATTCTTTTTGTGTCTCGAATGCGGTTCACAAATGCGCATTCACATGCACCTCCTGAACTGTAAAGCCACTGCCACACTGTCCTTGCGGACACCAGAGAGGAGAGCCATACAGATCCAGCACCTTGAGCCCCCCCCCCCCCCCCCCCCATACACACCTAGCTTTGCACACACGCACGTGCATACACAAATACCGGTACATGTACATTTGCATGCACATGCACCCAGTGCACTCGTGGGAACATGTGCATAACCCAGATCAACATTGCGTGCGAACCCACACATGCGGGCACGAGCACGCGCGCACACACATGCGCACACACACGCGCGCATACACACGCGTGCACACACACACGTGCGCACACACACACTCATACACCTGCTCAACGCTGAAGCGAGGATAGCGAACAAACTACGTTAGACATAGCAACTTGTGCTCGGATTACACCTTTCAACAGCTTGCACACACACGCATGCGTGCACGCGTATACACACGCATGCGTGCACGCGTATACACACACACGCGCGCGCGCGCGCGCGCGCGTACACAAACACACACACGCGCGCGCGCGCGCGTACACACACACACAAACGCATGTACTTGCGCATAGGAAAGGATTCAAAATATGCAGCCATAGACAATTACCCAATGCACACCTGAGTGTGCACATCTTAGTTGTGACATCCCCATTTTTACAAGAGCAGGATTTAGAAGTTCGTCCCTGGTTCAGAACACAAGCTTCTGGGGAGCGTTTTCCTTACACCATCAGTACAGTACAGTGGTCGACACGAATCTCATTTCTACAGGGACAGTAGCCCATGTTCAGCAGCTCTGAGATGTGCCGTCCACTGAGCTCAGGATACTCAAGGATCCACAGAAAGTTTCAAACGGCACTCGTACTGGAGCTGCAAGTGGGTCCACTTACCAGCGAGTGGGCAGCCACTTCACGCTCCACAGGTAGTCCATACTAAATACCAGTACTAGTATCACTACACTCGACATCGATGTCTTCACTGACTTCAGCCTGCTTTTCTCATCATTCTTCGTCAGTAATTAAAATTTTTGTTCTTCGTGGCCACTGCGTACCGCTTCAGCAAAGTTTTCAGAAAAAATCAAGCAGCGTAGGAACTGCCTTTGTTTTGCATTAGCCATTGCCAGTTATTCTTTCCAGCGTAGAAACTGCCACGGCTACAGAAACACTGCAACGAGTAGAACAAGTACATCCTGGAACAACTGCGAGCACAGAGAATCAAAAAACTTCTTTCTGAACAACAGCTTGTTTCCGCATGGAACACGATATTTTTTGAATATCGCGGCAAAAAACAGATTCTCGAGGTGCCCTTTTTACACTGCGCTGCGCAACTGTTCGGAGCCTCCTTAATTTGAGATCACGTCTAAAGCGCGCTCACACTGCGACAAGAGGCCCATGTCGATCAATGCCACAGTATACTCTCAATTGCTGTCCATTCGTCAAGTTCGAGCTCGAATTGTGAAGTAAAGGTACTCGCAAAGTAATTTTTACGTGCGTTAACCTACGCGTGTAGGTGACAGTCACCCACACGCACAAAATTGAACATAGCAACAGTATTTGCCAGTTAATTAAAACAACATCAGTGACAATTTGATGTATAAGAAAGCTGTTTGCTCCGACCCATGAACTCGCTTTTTGCCGCAGAAATGACTTTAACTTTGACTCGCTCACGACTCCCAACGAAGAGCGTACAAATCCATTCAACCTTGCACTTAGAACAACTGCAAGAAATCACTACCCCAGGATCACTAGACAGTATTTCAGGGAATTTCCCCCTCACCACCCAGTTGAGGTTGAGTAGTCGAGAGAGGATTGTGCCTGAAGAGCACTACTTCTGTAGTGGTCTCCAGGCCAAACTATCATCAGGGATACCTGCACAGTTTCTTGCAGTTTTGCCGAGCGGAAATTTGGATTGACGATCGTTTTTAAAATGTTCACTTTCTGACTACTTCAAGTACACTATTTGTGGATCTTATCACATTTTTGTTCCAACACAGAATCCGAGGGTGACAATGGCAAGAGGATACATCCCGCCATGCACTTCCAGATCGTCCATACCAGCCTTCCGCCCAAGTCCAATTTCCCCTGGTTTTGGAGTTCAATCGGCAACTTCATTCCCAGCGGGATATACCCAGGAATGGAGGTAAAACGGAGAAAAACAGTTGATTAGTTTGAATTTTTTGAATTGGAACAAAATGTACAGTTAAGTATGAAACGGTTTATATAGGTGATTGCTGGTGACTCAAAGAGCCAAAGTAATGCTTCAAGTGCCCCCGCTCGTATGAACTGCACACAGACACACACACGCACACACACAAACACACACACACACACACAACCACACACATACATACGCACACATACACACATGCAAACACATATACGCCCACGCACGTCCACAAGAAGGCTACAAGAACTGCGACTTTGAACCTGAAACCCCCCGTGCAATGACATGGACAAGAACATTAGCAAAAGAACACTAATCTTGGACATGCGCTTGGCTAAAAACCAAGGGTGTCACTATTCAAGAGTGGGCTTTATTTTTCTACTGACTCTTACAGCCTGGGGCACTATGCCGAGATAGTGTACAATTCATTATTCAAGAGAAGGCTCTAATCGCGCGAGTAGTGCATACACAATTAACCCAGGAAGCAGATAAAGCACCCCCTCCCCCTTTCCTGCCTGTTTGCTTGAACTTTCGAGTTTCAAATTGCAACTTTTTTGAAGGACAGTCAGAAACGAGACGCAAAGGCCTTTCTTTCCTTTACTCGCCCTCTCACACCCGTGCCCACCCACACCATACCTGCTCACACCCCTAGCACACCTCGCGCACCCCCCCCCCCTCCCTACATACACAACAATTATCCTCTTTTGCAGGCACAACACCAACAACAATCAAGTTAATTGTCAAGTGACAGAGACAATGAGAAACAGCTTGGAACAACTCAAATAATTAACCTGCTCGTCAAGATCAGTGCAGTCTGCAATTTGAGCACACTGGCGACAGTGAGGCAAGGAAATATCCAATCAAAGCAACAAGACGTGCACTACACTTGCAAAGCAAGACGAACAAGAACACCGCAACCAGAGCGCATGCCCCTACTATCTCGCATTTGCGAGCAGCAAATGTCACGTCATTCAGAAAGAAAGTAAAAAGGAAGAACTACATTTCTCGTGTGTTTCCTATGTCAGCCAAGGAGACATGAGACATGTATCGTGTGAAACTACTTGTTTAGCCGACTTTTAGTATTCAATCACATTGTCATGCATGAGGATACAGTATTTTAGTGACTGTTTGGACGGCTTTGGAGCTAGGTGTCACTGATGGTGGAAAATCTCTCTGTCAAGTCAGTACTCGCGTGATTAGTGCCCCTGGCGTACTATGTTTTCAATGTCCATCATAGATGGGGCACGTTTCAAGAGAGGCCACTATTCAAGAGAGGGAACTATTTTCCAATGCTGGTACATTCGCTTCATCCGACATAAAACAAAGCAAAACCGAGCCTAACGTTTACTATCACGACTCAACAGAAAAGTCAACAAGAACTGCGGTTTTGAACTTGAAACCACCTGTGCAATGACATGGACAAGAACATTAGCAAAAGAATACCAAACTTGGACATGCGCTTTGTTACAAGAGCGGGGGGGGAGCACTATTCAGGAGTAGGCACTGGCGGATTATGCTCGAAAAGGTGGCAGATTCTGCTCTAAAAGCAGTGAAATTGGCAGAACCATACAAACCTTATGGCGGGCAATTCCACGAATTCTGCTCCATTTCTTTATCCACATACCAAACATGCATGAAACTTACCAGAACAAGTACCGAATTCTGCCAATTTTTCTGCCGGCATTGTCCGCCGGTGCCAATTCAGGAGAGGGCTTTATTTTTTCACTTGCTCTTATACATGTAGGCTGGAGTACTATTCGAGATAGTGTACAAGTGCTATTCACTATTCCAGAGAGTGCTCTGATCGCGCGAGCACAGTAATTGCCGCACGTCCTGGCCACACTAGTAACAGCGGTGTTTCAGAATTTTGTTTTGTATTTTATTATTTTAGTTAGGCATTCCCAATAGACCCTAAGGTCTTCTTACAGGGTGCCCAAGATGAATGAATTTGTTAAGTTCCTGGCGAAATGAATTGGGGATATGATTTGTGCGAATGGATTCGGGAAGCGCATTAAAGTGGTCAGTGCCAAGGAATGAAATAGATTTGTTTCCAGCTTGAGCTTGCACAATGGGTCAGGAAAGGGAATAATTGACTTGGCCGCGCGTGACTCTACCTGTGTGAGCGCAGTCACGGCGAAGGGAAAACATGTCAGAAAGGAGTGAACTGCAGATATTGTGGATCACCACTCGTATCCGTGTGTTCAGATCAGGTTCACAAGAACAAAAAACTAGAATGTTGGTCGGGTATTTGATAGAATTCCTTCTCAACCAGCCTTGTGCTCATATTTGCTTCTTCTGCAGAAGAGCCCAGTCATACGTACGGGATTCCCATGACAGATCGAGACAGGACAATATGCTTAGGTTGACTGAAGAACGCCGGTCAATGTACCGAGGAGATCAAACTCCAAAAACAATTCGCTCTGCTAGAGAACTCTCGCAGCCAAGATTGGATGACAACTGGCATGAAACTGTTCCATCGATCAATAATATGGCCACAATGTATGTCGCTACTGCAGGTATGGGTGTTGCAACAACCGACCAGAAAGCAGTGCCATCGTCAGCAGACGTGATGTGCAGGTTAAACTGGCATAGCCCTTCGTCTTCCATAGGGAAGCCACACCAGGAACCTGTTTCCACATCGATATCCAAGATGTCAGTCACGCCCCACCAAACAGAACCGCCAGCCGGATATTCCAAGCCGACTGCTGATCACCCGACTACAGGTGGCAAGACAGGTTCTCTGTTTCAGGACACTGAATATGCAAAGTATTATCCCACGGCAGATACCTGTTCAGCTTTCTCTTACCATCTTGGTCAAAGTTCAGCATCTTCTCAAAGACCAGCAGCTTCCCACGATGATCTGATCCGTCATAGGCCTTCAGCCAGTCCTTCAGATCATCAACTGGCTTCACCAAAGACTTATGGAGAAACTCACAAAGACCAAAGATATGAAGCGACGTTTGATGCACCGCCTAATATGGAAAACAAAATGGAATCTGATTTCAGGTTCAGCGGTGAAGAGTATCGAGAATCCCTTGTGGAAACACTACAGAAGGCTGGGAAGAAAGGTTGTCCGGACAGGTCGTCAAATGTTGGAGTTTCTCAGGAAGGTATGCCTGAAACATCGGAGGAACCTTCCGCGTATCGTATACCAATGGACTGTGGACATCCTGCCGGACACCAATCTGTGCCTTCCAAAGTAACGACAATGCGACGGGATCAGGAGCCGCGGACGACATATACAACATTATACAGGTGTGCATTTTGCCCAAAAGAGTTCAAGAAGCCTTATCAACTTCGTGAGCATGATTGTGTTCATACTGGAGAGCGACCATTCAAGTGTGACGTCTGCAGCAAGTCATTCAATAGACGATGGACTCTAGATATTCATAGACGTATTCATTCTGGACGGAGAGAGTACACGTGTAAGGAGTGTGGCAAGTCGTTCACACAATCGTGTCATCTGCGTGTTCATGAACGTATTCATTCTGGACAGAGACAGCACATGTGTAAGGAGTGTGGCAAGTCGTTCACACAATCGTGTCATCTGCGTGTTCATGAACGTAGACATACATGTACTGACGAGAGACCATTTACATGCAAGTTATGTGACATGTCATTCAGACAGAAATCCCATCTACGCCTGCATAATATACGTGTACACGCAGCAGAACGTCCGGATATGTGAGAAGGGCGTGAACGGTATTTACATGTACATGTAGCTGTTTGTCAAACCTTCTCCAACACCTGCGTTTACTGTCATTCTGACTGAAGAGCGTTTATGACGCGAAAACGAAAACGTAAATGTGTAAATGTCTGTCTTGTCTTTGTGATTCTATGTAAACATGCTATGTGTCTTGTCTTGTGTTTGTCTCCACATGTCTCTTTGTAGGGCTGTGTTCCCAATAAAAATAAATAAGAAATAAATGTGTTACTGTGATTGAGAGCATGTTCGGTCTGATACGCTATGCATGAAAAAATGAACGTGGTCTCATGCACGCGCTAGATGATTATAGTCAAGCTGATGTGCATCATTGGCTGTATGCTTTTGGTTCGGTTTAGAACGGATTACTTTCTCCGTTTCGTAGATACACGTATGTGCGGAAGTCTTACGAGGGCGATCAATCGCGGTACTGTCTACCATGTTAATATAGCAACAGTGAACCTCATTCTGTTGTGCTGTGGTTATCAAAATTGTAATAATAATAAATAATTAGTTTCTTGATGGGAATGTGCACAGGATTGTTTCGTTCTATCCTTTCACTAGTCGTATTATCATGGCTCCCAGGCTACATTCTGAAACCACAACAATATCCTGCCTTTCTATTGTCTAATCGTTTTATTTTGTTTTTGTAGTTAGCCGTGAATAGTACGTATTGCCTCTCCTAGCGAAATGAAGCCAATGAATCGTCCATCTATTCTAGGGGTGAAATGGTTACCCTTTATGTCGTGTATAGCGTTTCTCGCCGTATTGTCCCTCTCCGTATTGTCTCTCTCTCTCTCTATAATTATTATGCATGCTCGTTGTAAATAAATCAGTCTTTGTCTTGTCCCACAATGGACTCCTGCGTGGCTCCAGGCGAACACAAAACTTTAAGGTTACAAACGGGTACCTGGCTTAAGGGGTACGTCATTGGTTACCCTTTTGCCGCCAACACTAGTGGCTACATCGACAGTTACTGCGCGATAGTCTTCCACATTTTGTGCGTGGGAATTCATGTCATTCAGAGCAAGAACACTACATCGCGACAAAAGCACCATGCACCCTTGCTGCGGTACGTGCAAAACAGTCAAATTAAATTTGCCATATGAAGCAGGATCCAATAACAGCCGACAAATTCAAACCCTACACCAAACTGCGCGACTGTCCTAGTCAGCTGGTAATACCAACACGTACCATCATACACGACTAGCGGGTAGTATCCGTTTACTAACGAGTCAGCAGCTAAACCAATGGGTACCCAGATCACCCCTGTCACGCCTAACATAGTGCTCAATGTGGAACACACACAGGTAATAAAATGCTGAAAGTGTGAAACATACCAATTGTACCATTTGATTTCAGACGAGAATGTGCATAGCATAACCCATTTCGTAGCAAAACTCGGATGTTGAGCCAATATTTTATATTTTAATGTAAACAGTAAAGAGACGCATGGATATAAGTTAATTAAGAGTACCTGTCTACCACTGTAACTAGATACTAGATACTGTCAAAAGGTGGAACAAATACACGTAGAAACAAAACAGACAGAGTACTGAGAGATTCGACGACCTGACACCTAGCGCCATTCATAGGCTCCTTAACCTAGAACTTTCCGAGTTGGAAGGCTGTTGGTTCGCGTTTCGGAGATGTGTTGGAGCTAGGTTTCACGTAGTCGAATGCCTCAATACTCTGACTGTTATGCGTCTAGTTGTGGCACTTTCTGACTGTACAATGTATATCTAGTTACAGTGGGGGCCAGCTACTAGAAAATCAATTTTTTTAAGTGTGAAGATCAAAAATCGAGATACTTATCATAGGCAGCTTTTCAAAGGTAGGTATCGTTTAAAAAAACAAGATTGCGTTGCACTTACAGGCTCAGTCTTGGTACATGTATACTCTGCCTACAACTTCTACTAGGAGAGGTTGAAAGTTTGGAAACCCAGACCCATCATTGGTGCCAAAAGATTGGTCCATCAGCCTTGTTAAGGATTGGCCACGTGTGCACCATCGGGGTCCCTCAAATCAAACACTCTAACACAGTCTGCTGGATGCATACGTCATTTGAAATGTTCTCTAAATGTTCAGGTCTGGCCCATCATCAGAGTGAAACAGAAAACTTTTGAAAGCTAACAAGAAAGTGAGTAGATCTGCAATTAGGTGCTGTATGACAATGACGAGTGGTGCGCCAAGGTGTGCAGAAAATGTATCAATTTTATGTTTTGGTTAGTACCGTATCATCTCCATTATAAGCCCAGCCATGGATGCTGCTAATGGGATATCGGTCTTTGACCACTTGGTGGTGGGTCTGATCTACTCACCTCCCACCGTTTAGGCGCTGCATCTGCGCATTTGATCCTAGAGGGTGGTGGCGTTCCCACGTTGGATGCGGAATACATGTACTCGGCTTCCAGCCTAGTCTCACGTGAACCGTGATATTATTTCAGCACACGAAGCACAGAAGCCATATAATTTCGACTAGGCCTTTCGTACCATTACTGAGTACCCATCAAGTCGAATACAATGGTGATTAACAAGGTTGCAAGCAAGTCCTTATCACCAGCACTTTGGCGGTCAGAGCATTGACAAAAATAGCACTTGAAAAATAGCGCTAGTGGCACCAACAACATATTTGGCGGTCAGAGCATAGATCAAACAGCACTTTAAAAGATAGCGCTAGTGGCACCAACTACACAGTGAGACAATGAATATTACCAATATCAGACCAAGGTACTACAATGTCAAAACAGTGACAACTTTCGCACATGTTTCTTTTGCACGCGCAGTTCAGGCTTCAGTTTGGCAATGTACACTGCCTCCAGCACAGCAAGGTGAGATTTGTCTGACCACCAAATATGTTGTTGGCGCCACTAGCGCTATTTTTCAAGTGCTATTTTTGTCAATGCTCTGACCGCCAAAGTGCCGGTTATAAGGACTTGCTTGCTACCTTATTAATCACCATTGTATTAGACTTGAAGAGTAATGGTACGAAAGGCTTTTTTTTTTTTTTAAATGTTTATTTGAATTCGGATAGCTCAACAGTACAGAAGTACAACTACAAAGAGTACCGAATAGAAGGCCCCGAGAACGGGAAACCAAAAAACCAAAAAAAAACAAAAACAAAAACAGCAACATCAAGTTACTGATTATGCACATTGCTTGAAAGCAAATCACAACAATGATTAAGAGTTAAGCTGTCTTTTAGCCAAATAGCCAATTTGACGCGGAAATCTGCGATTGTAGTGCAGGACTTCAGGTCGTCTGGTAAATAATTCCAAACAAGAGCCGATTTACTTGAAAAGGACAGAAAGCCAGACATAGATCTATAGCGATTGATACTCATGTTATGAGTTGTAGAGCCGCGAGTAGTTCGGGTAGACGTACAGATGGGAAAGAGAGACTGCAAGCAAACAGCCGGCTTAATACAGTAACAGTGGAAAATGAATACAATGAACAAAAATACTGATCGATATTGGAAAGAGGAAACATTGAGGTGGTGAAGAAGTGGCGTGATATTAGCTTGGGGTGATGTGCCACAAGCAACTCGTACAGCGCGCCGGTGGAGTGAGGCTAGCTTGTTTCTATTTTTAGCGGATATAAACGAAAGGTATACAGGGAGAGCATATTCTAGATCAGGCTGAATAACACCGACAACGAAAGTACGGCGGGCAAACAGGTTCATCTGGCGGAAAGATCGACGCAGTACACCGATCTTCCGTGAGGCTTTCCGGACGACATTGTTAATGTGTTGGTCAAAGGACAGCTTATTGTCAACAACGACTCCTAAGCATCTGGTGCTTTCCACTTCCCCTAGCGTAACATTTGACAAGGTGATTTGCAGTTGTTGCCTTTGTTGTTGTTGTTGACTCCCTGTGGCACGTTTGGGATGGATTTGCATGACTACGGTTTTGTCGGTATTTATCTGCATACCAATGGAGCCAAGGTGGTTGTTTAGTATCTCCAGTGCCGATGACAACTTGGCTTCGGAACGCGCCTTCGACGGATCACTAGAGTAGACTGTCTTGTCATCTGCGCACATCAGTAATTTTGAACCCGCTGTCTCCGCAAGCCGGGGAAGGTCCCTCAGGTAGACATTAAAGAGGGTAGGGCCTAAAATACTTCCCTGAGGAACTCCTCGAGACACTGCAAGACTTGAAGACTGGCTGGCTTGCGTGACGACACGCTGAGATCTCCCGGCGAGGTACGACGCAAACCAACGCAGGGCGCTTGCATGAACACCCATGCCATGGAACCTAGTCGAAATTATGGCTTCTGTGCCTCATGTGCTGATTTGCTTTCCTCCAACCAAAAATCTATTCAAATTTATTTATTTATTTATAAGCCCAGCACTTCTATTTTTTCAACCAGTCCGCACCCCGGGCTCATATTAGAGACTGGGCTTCTACAAGAGACTGGGCTTATAATTTTTCAACCACCTGGTATATGTACATTGCCTATTATTATGCATTAAAATGATCCCAGCCACGGGCCCGTCACACATAAGTAAGTGGGTGATTCAAATTTACGGGGACAAGGTATCCGTCCGGCGATCAAACAAGATTCATCTGCTATCCTGAAAGTAACACTGTCTATTGGTGCGGATGGCTCCATCCTAGTGGATCTGATACAGACATCACTAGCAAAATTGATTACAAAAGAGTAATTCTAGACAGTCGTAACTCTTTGGTCAAACTGGTGCACACAAACAGACGCAAACGCACAAGTACATACTTCTCACGCATACGCACATCCATGCATTATAGCAAACTAATGATGCGGATAATCCCTTTTGACCTTTCATACTATTCGGAGAGGCTTCCTCTCAATATGTTATTCAAAGGAAGGCTCTACAATTCAAATGTCAGTCATAACAAGACTATCATCTGCTTGTTATCGCTCCAGATATCACTGGAACAAACAGAGACATAGACAGCAATGGCGAAAACACACAAAGTGAAGGGTAGTAGGCGGAAGCCAGATGTGAACCGAATAACGAGTGAGGTATGGAAGCGAGAACAGAGAACAGAGTATCTCACAGGGAAGAGGTCTACAAGCATATAGCAGAAATAGGCCATGATGCCGAACCACTTGGGGCCGTCAGATTAATTTTTCTGGACCAAGCCAGCCGGGAAAAAACCCTCGCGCCGACGGACGCAGTAGTGAGGGAAAAAACCGGGTGTATATCCCAAATGGCAATTTGGCTTCATGTAGGCATGGCAAGCACATCACGGCAAAAAATATATAAAAATCAATAGTAAGATGCAGATGAATGAAGGATGGGAGGTAGGGACACTGGTGAAACTCAAAACTGACTGAAGAAGTCAAGAAAAGAAACGACGATAAAGAACACCCCAGTTGCCATATTTTCAACTGAAAATGTTGCACGAGAAAAACAAAATTCCTCTGCTTGAAATGCATCAGAGAAACTAAGGGCTGGTGCGCAATGAAGACATGACCTAAGGATACAACAAAATATCAGAGACAACGTGCTAGCAAAACAAGAACAATGGCCGGCTACGCACAATCCGGGCACAAAAGACTTTTAGTAAAAGGTCTACTCTCGTTTTTCCTTACTTATAATAGGGGTTTCACACTCGCGGGAAAATCCTCCGTCGAAAATCGAGTGCATGCGTTAATAGCCCTTGGCGGATTATGCCGGCATAATATTTGGCATAATCTTGGGATTTCGTCAAAAAATTATGCTCCGGCAT